TCATCATCACCCCTGCCTTCCTATGCTCGCATCACACGAGGGGAACATACAGCTCCAACCCCATCTCGTGCTAGTGGCCATGTCATGCCCACCCGGCTGATGCTCGCATCCCACGAGGGGAAGCGCCGCACGCGCACCACCCGGTTGAGTGACACATGCTTCTTCAGCTTCGGTCCATCCCATGCCAGCAGTGCCCCTCTCAACATCAAACCTGCCCTCCCGATGCTCGCATCGCACGAGGGGAAGCGCCGCACGCGCACCACCCGGTTGAACGACACCTGCTTCTTCAGCTTCGTTCCTCCCGACCCGTTCGCCGGCGACAAGCACGACTTGATAGGCTCCTCGCCTGCGGGGTGTTTGGGCTCCTAGCACGAGGGTCCGCTGACTGAACTTCAAAGGGACTTGCACCTAGGGTCTGGGTGTGCCTTGCACCCCCTCCTCCTCTGGACCCTCCCCTGGCTCTGGGCAGCGCTGCCCATGGCTCCCCCCAAAAAACACAGACCCTTGAATGCAGTCTGCACTCTGGGACCCGGGCAAACCCCCCCCGAGGCCTGGCCCATGCCTGTTTTGGCCGCACCCGTTTGGCCCCATGCCCCGACCACCTTGAGGCACAAGAGGGTGGGAAGGGGATGGAGGGAGATGATCCCCCGCGAAAGGGAGGTATGGGCCCTTGGGCAGTGACGGTGCTCTGATCACCGTTTCCGTGGCTTGAAGTGGTGTTTCCGAGCGGGAAGGGTGGGATGAGGGGATAGAGGTCGGTTGGAGTGCTGACAGGATCGTCTGGGATATCGCTCGCACTGCTGCGCCGCACCAGAACCCGTACCCGATCCTGCTGCCGAACCTGCTGCTGAGGCTGCTGCTGGTTGGAATAGTGTGAGGGGGAGGTTCGAGGGGCCATGAAGTTAGAGGGTGAGGCATTAGAGGTTAAGCCAGTAGAGGGTGGAAAGTTAGAGGTTGACGGTTCGTAGGTTACAAGATTAGAGCGGAGAGTTGGCTCATGTCAAGAGACGGGGAGCGGGCATGGGAAAGCCGGGGGGAGGGAACGGGGTTTTGATAGGAGGAGGTGGAGCGGGCGACGGGAGGGCGCACTGGGGAGGCGCGGGGGGAGAGGCGAGACGTGGAGGGGGAGATCCCGGGGGAACGAGTGGGGGAACGGGGAGGCTTGGAGGGGAGTAGTGGGGGCGATTGGGGGAGGGGGCGGAGGGGAAGGGGGAGGGGAAGGTGGGGGACAGGGGGAAGGAGACGATAGGTTCGGGCAGGGTTGGGGGGGTGGTGAGGGGAGGGGGGCGGGAGAACATGGCTGGTATGGGCTTGCGCTGTTGGGATGGGGAGGCGGAGGGGGAAGAGACTGGGGCGCGGGGGGAGGGTGATGGGGGAACGGCGCTGGGGGAGGATGGCGGGGCAAAGGCGCGTGGGGAAGCGGATGGCGCATGGGGGGAGGCGGAGGGGGAAGGCATACAGGCGTGGGGGGAGGCGGAGGGGGAGGGTAGCTGGGCGCGACGAGGGCGGGAGGGGGAAGAAACGGGCACGCGGAAGGGGGAGGAGGAGGGGGAAGGCTGGGGTGCATGAGGTGAGAGTGGGGAGTCGGAATGACGAGTACGAGAGGAGGGTAGTGGGGCGGTCACTGTCTCGTCGTTCCCCAACGAAGCTGTTCTTGCAGCGACACGATTAACCTGACCTGCAGAAACAGGCGGTTCCCCTTCGCCATAGGCATCCTCGCTAAAAGCACTCTCGCCATAAGCACTCTCGTGATCGGAGTCAGCGTCAGGCGCAGCAGGGTCATCAAACGACACCTGGAGGTGCTTCAGCCGCTCTTGTACCTCTAACGAGAGCCTCTTTATCAGGGCTGGCCCCTGGGGGCCTTTACCATCCGTTCCCCAAATCGAAACACCAGCTGCTGAAGCACCCCCGCCACCGCCGCCACCACCGCCGCCGCCGCCGCCACCACCGCCGCCGCCGCCGCCGCCACCCCAGCCACCATCACCGCTTTTACCTCCGGATCGCTCATTGTAGCTGCTGCTAGCGCTGCTGCCATTGATGCTGGCGCTGCCTGATGTACTTGCGCCTTTCAGCTCTTGAACACCTATAGCCCTTCCAGTAGGGGAAGCCATACCCCGACCAGTGGGGGAAGGGGCATCCCGACCGCTCCCGTCCCAGCTCAGTCGCGCATTGCGCAGACCCCGCCCCTTCCCCGGATGCGCAGGCCTTCCCCCGCCGCTTCCGCGCGCCTGGTTCTCGCTCCCAGCACCTCCGCTTCCGCCGAACTGCTGCGCCCCGCTGCCCAGTCCTCGGAGCATTTCTGCCGCCGCGGCCACCAGCTGCGCCTCCGCGGACGGCGCAAGGTCCGCGGAGCCTCCCCGTCTTGCGCCTTTCCGCTGCACGGGCCGCGCCATCACCACTCCGTCATCGTCATCGTCATCGTCATCGTCATCGTCATCGTCATCGTCAATGTTACTGTTACCGTTACGGTTAACGTCAATGTTAGAAATATTATCGCCACTGGCGAAGATATCGCGCCTTTCGGAAATGGTACCACCAGAGGCAGCACTAGCTGCGGCGGAGGGGTAAGCAGAGCGCGGGGAAGCGGCGGACCGAGGGGGAGTCCCGCGACCATCGGCGGAAGCTCTGCGGGCGGCGCGACTGCGCGACGGCGGAAGGAGCTGCCCCGAATGACCGCTTCTGGGGGGAGGGAGACGAGGGGCGGAAGCATTGATGGAGGCGGAACGCGCCATTCGAGGTCGGGGGGCGGGCAGTTGCGCCGCGGCAGAAGCAGCGGAAGAAGGCGAAACGACTTCCGCGGAGAGTGTCTCCTTGAGGACAGGTCCTTTACTCGTAGGAGAGGAGGGAACAGCCGCCACGTGGAAGCCCGTAAAGCTGGACACGTCATCATCCACGTGTCCCCCTGCCGTTGGTAGCCCGTCAACCGGCGCTGATCCTCCCTCAGCAACAGACGGCGATCCCGCCGGCACCTGCGGCGCCTTAAGTGCTTGCGACGCGGACGCTGCGGCCTCAACACTGCCGCTTGCCGCGACGAGCGGCGCAGCAGCCGCAGCTACTTCCCCCGCGGTGGGGGAGAAGGCGCCGCCGCCCGCTGCCGCTGCCACTGCCGCTGCCGCTGCCGCTGCCGCTGCCGCTGCCGCTGCGCCTGCTACTTTCCCCCCTCCCCCTCCCCCGCCTCCTCCTTCTTCCCCTGCTCCTGCAGCTGATGCGGATCTGGCGCCATCACGGGCGGCACATTTCTCGGCGGGAATTTTATCATGCGATGGTGTCGACCGCCCTTCGCCCCGCGAGCGGCGGAAGCGGAAGAGGTCGGCGGACGCGCGCGCGGGCGAACCGCTCGTGGCGGAACTGCCTGGTTCGCGAGGGGTGTTTCCCCCTCTGCGCAAGAGGCGGAAAAACCCGCCTGCACCGCCAGCAGCACCGCCGCTGCCGCTACTGCTGCTGCGGCGGGAACCGCCATTGTCCCCCGCAGCGTTTGTGCCTTCCCCCTCCGCGCATCCCCCATCGCGCGCAGGTGCATCGAGCCACTTCGCGTCCATATCGTGCGACGCGGTGGCCCTCCGCCGAACGACCTCCGCGTGCGGGCTGCGCACGAAGGAAGCCGCCGGCGGAAGCCATGCGGGCGCGCTCGCCGCTGACGCGGGGGTGAGGCGTTCGGCGTTTGGGAGACACGAAGTGTTTGTGGCGTCCGTCATGGTCTAGTACCAGGCTTTGAAGTATCCCCACCGGAAAAACGGCAAAGAAACGGCATATCAATTGCCATCAACGGCAAATGAAAGTCCACTCCACTGCGCGCCAGCCATGAGCAGGAAAATGGCGATTGTTCCGCGAGGGCAGAGCAATAATGTAGAACGTTTTTTGCAGAGTGCAAGAGAGAGGGTGAAGAGCAGGAGAAACCACAACGAGAGTGAGGGAGGGTTCGTTGGTCGGTGCAGGCGGGCGATGTTCGCGAGCGAATCACGATACACCCGGGCAACTCGCCGTGGCGCATGCGCAGCCAACAAAGGCAACCGCTGCGATTGGCTCCGATCGACATGGTTACCTCCCCACGAGCAGGGGACGGACAGAATTGCCATGCCACGTCCCCCACCCCTTGGACGATGCAAACTCATCGACGAAATCGACGGTTACGCTTTTCGTTCACAAAAGCTGAAAGCTGTCATCATTTCGCGAGCCCTTGCTCTCAACTTCGCTAGGCATTTGAAAAATCTACAGTGCAGAACTGTACCTGCCGTTCACTTGTTCACATTGCTGCCCCTGCACGCGGCAGGGAGAAAGGTCAACCCTTTGCGCCAAGTTCCATCCATGGACCAGGCCAGCAAGTGAAAGGTCAACGCCTCTCTCTCTACACTGCATACTCGCTACTGGACTCTCCGACTCAAGTTGACAGCCGAGATACTGCTCAATCCTGAATGCTCAACCTCAGATAATTTTCACTGGTTCCCATGTCGAATGTGTTTCCTCTCCTAGACTAGATAGAGAACACACAAATCCTTACAATAGGGCCCTCGCAACGCAACAAAGTCATTATAACCAATTCCATAAACCAACATAGAACTTGGCCAGACAACTCCATAACAAGCCATCATAGTCTCAAATGAAACTTGGCAATCTCCGTACCCAAGTCAACCCTCGGGTGTGGGCCCTGGTTCAACCAGCCCTTCGCACAATGCGAATCTACGAACGCGCACCACTCGATCAAAAGATACCTGCTTCTTCAACTTCCGTCCACCCGATCCATTCGCTAATGATAAGCACGACTTCCCAGGGCTCCTTGGTAAAGGAGGTCCCCAGGGACTCCTTTCCTCGGCGCTCATTCCTCGGGAACTCATTTCCTGGCCCGTCCCAGCACCAACGCTCGGAGCCCTGCCATGCCCTCTCCTCCCCCTTGAGGTGCATCCAGGCTCTGCTGTCTTCTGTCCCCCCTTTCAGCCCTTACAAAGTCTGCGCTCTGCGATCTCACAAAGCACCGCGAAGAGCGTGAATTCTGCGAATTCTGCGAGCTGTCCTCGATTCTCTGTGCTGATTGACCTACGGGACCTGCAACTACGGGAAGCTTGCCACCCACTAGGACTCCCGGTACCTCACTTGAGCCTGGACTTTGGGGGAGGTAAGGTGGGACGTGATGCGGATCAATGTCAGATAGATGTTTGCTGCTGTCATCAGGCAAGCCAGTAGTGCTCTTCCGAACTTGTTTCCGAACCTGCTGCCTAACCTGCTGCCGAGCCTGCTGCTGAGGCTGATGCTGCGCCTGCTGCCGAGCTTCCTGCTGACCCAGCTGCTGCCAAGCCTGCTCCAAGAGCTTCTGCTTCTGAGAATTCACCTGAGAGCTCTCCTGAGGATTCACCTGAGAATTCTCCTGAGAAATCCCCTGCGGAGGCAGATGGCTGCACTGTGGGGTCCACTGGGCCATCCCCAGGCCATGAGAGGGGTAACACACATGGCAGGGGGGGGAAGGGTGTGCATAGTAAGAGACTCCTTTGGACAAGGATGGGGTTTGGGGCGGGTATTTAGCGGCGATTGAGCCAGATATTATAAGCCCCCGAGGCCCTTCCAAGCCCGCTTCATTAAAGGGGACGGAATCAGGGCAAGGAGGGGAGGGGCGCGCGTAATAAGAAACTCCTTTGGACAAGGATGGGGTGTGAGGCAAGCTCGAAGTTGGCGGCTGGCTTGAGTCGACAGAGGCGGCGGTGGTGCGGTTATGGCGTGGTGAAAGGGGGGGTTTCTGATGCGAGGCGTGCGAAGGAGGGGCGGCGTGAGGGTAGGCAGGGGAAGCGCAGGGGGAGAATCTGGCAGAGGCGGAAGGGGAAAGCGTGGGGGAGAAAACGGGGGAGCGGGGGGGCTTGGAGGGGAAGAAGTGGGGAAGATCGGGGGAGGGGGCGGGGGGGGAGTGGGCGGAGGGAAGGGAGTAGGAGAAGGTGGGGGAATGGGCAATGGAGGAAGGGGAGAAGGGAGAGGGGCGGGGGAAGGTAGCGGAGGTTGGTGCGATCGACAAGGAAACGGCAGAAGTTGAATGGGGTGGAGTGGGAGTAGGGGTGGTGGGGGGAGGGGGGCGGGAGAACATGGCGGGTATGGGCTTGTGCTGGCGGGAAGGGGAGGAGGAGGGGGAAGAGACTGGGGCGCTGGGGGAGGGTGAGCGGGCAAGGGCGCTGGGGAAAGGCGGTGGGGGGGAAAGGGTGGGGAAGGGATGTGTCACTGAAGGCTCATGAGGGGAGGAGACTGGTTGTGCTCTTGGAGGGGAAGTAACTGGGGCTGTAGCCAGCAGGGTCGCTGAAACAGCTTCTTCTGATTTCCCCAGCAGAACTGAAGCCACGGCTCGCAGATCAATCTTCCCTTTAGGGTTAAGTTTCCCCCCCTCATTATAAGCACTCTCGCCATAAGCACTCTCACCATAAGCAGTCTCGTTATCAGAGTCAGCGTCAGAAGGGGGGCTGTCGAAAGTCACCTGCAGGTGCGCCAGCCGCTCTTGTACCTGTAACGAGAGCCTCTTTATGGGGAAGGGTCCTTGAACTGAAACGCAAGCTGGGGAAGCTGCTGGGTCTCCGCTCCCCTCGATTTTCTGCCCCCCCCCGCTCCCCCCAATCTTCCCCCTCCTGCTCCCCCCAATTATCTTCATCCCCATGCTTCCCCCAAACCTCTCCCCCCTGCTCCCCTCGATCTCCCCCCCCTTGCCGCCGCCCCCCCTTGTTTTCTCCCCCATGCTTCCCCCAATCCTCTCCCCCCCACTCCCCCCAATCTTCTCCCCCCAGCTGTCCAGTTATTTCCGCCACAAGCTGAGCCTCTGCGGATGGTGCAGGGCGATGGGCGGATGGAGCAGGGTGGTGCGCGGATGGAGCAGGGTGGTGCGCGGATGGAGCAGGGTGGTGCGCGGATGGAGCAGGGTGGTGCGCGGATGGAGCAGGGTGGTGCGCGGATGGTGCAGGGTGGTGCGCGGATGGTGCAGGGTGGTGCGCGGATGGTGCAGGGTGGTGCGCGGAAACCCACCTTTTCTGGCTTCTTTTCTGGACGGGCCATGCCAACACCATTCCATCAACATCCCCATCCCCATCCCCATCGCCATCCCCATCGCCATCCCCATCGCCATCCCCATCGCCATCCCCATCCCCATCGCCATCGCCATCCCCATCCCCATCCCCATCGCCATCATTGCAGTTATCACCATTGCCATTGCGACCAAGGGAAGAGACGCCGGGGGGGGAACAAGCTGAGGCGGAAGGGGAGGCGGGGGGCTGGGGGGCGGGGGAAGGGGAAGCGGTTGACCGAGGAGGAATGGCGAGGGGAGGGAGAGAGGAGGAGCGGAGGAGGCTGGTCCCCCGGGTCGGTGCAAGGAGCACGTGCTTGCCTCTGCGCGGGGAGGGGGTGGCGCTCCGCGGCTCACTGGGGGGTTCCGGTTGGAGGTGAGTAGCGGCCAGTGGCAGTAGCCGCGGCAGTGCCAGGGGCAGAGGACGTGCCACGCTGCTGGTGGGCGCCTGTGCCTGTGCCTGTGCCTGTGCCTGTGCCTGTGCCTGTGCCTGTGCCTGTTGCCTGTGCCTGTGCCTGTGCCTGTGCCTGTGCCTGTGCCCAGGTCCTGGTGGTTGTGACACCGGCCTGGCCAGAGCGGTAACCGCTGCTGCTGCTGCTGCTGCTGCTGCTTCTGTTGAGGCTGCTGTCGCCATCAGTGAAGGGGAGGGAACCCGCACCCTTGCCGCCCCTGCTGCCGCTGCCGCTGCCGCTACCGCTGCACCAAGAATTGCTCTGTGCCCCCCGAAGGGATGCAGTGGCGGAACGCTTTGGAGGCGGCTCAAAAGCAGAATCGCTCTGTGCCCCCCGAAGCGGTGCAGTGGCGGAACGGATCAGGCGACGCTCGGGGTGGGACGGCTGAGGCGGGGCGGAGGAAGCGGGGAGAGATAGGGAGGAAGGCGGTGGAGAGGGCTGAGATTCTTTTTCAAGAGGCGGCGCTTCTGGGGTGGGCTGCACCCGCGAAGCAATTACTAGTGCCGCCGTGGCTGTTGCAGCCGCCTGGAAGCTTCTGGAGACTGGCCTGTGCCTGCTGCTGCCACCAACCATTGCCCTTGTGTCGGCCACTTCTCCTGCTTCCCTTTCCCTTCCTCCTCCCCTTCCTCCCCTGCCTCCTCCTCCTCGTCCGCCTCCTCCTCCCCCCCTTCCCCGTTCTCCCCCTCCCCCTCCCCCTCCCCCTCCACCGTTTACTGACGCAGAGCTGGGAGGTTCAACGTCTTGAGCCCCCAGCAGGGTCCTGCCTGTGGTAACAGCGTTGCTCGCTGCCGCATCGCCACATTTTTCGCCAACTTCGGGGGTGTTCGTCTGGGACGTCGTCCGCCCCTCGCCCCACGACGAGCGACGGAAGCGGAAAAGGTCGGCGGAAGTCCGCGCAGACGGACCGCTGGTGCGCGCAGGCGGACCGCTCTTGGCGGAGCTGCCTACCAACTCGCGCGCGCTGCCGTTTACCCCCCGACGCAGGAAGCGGAGAAACTTTCCGCCGCCAATTCCGCCAGTGGAAGCATTGCCGGCGCCCGTTACCGCCGTTCCCCCGCCGCTTTTCCGCAGAGCCCCCGCATATGACTCCGAGTCCCCTTCCGCGCGCGTGCGTTCCCGCTCCGCGCCCGTACCTCCAACCGCGTATGATCCGCCAATGCGCGCGAAAGCGGCGTCCCACACCGCATCCATATCGAACGACGAGGTTGCCTTCCGCCGAACGATCTCCGCGTGCGGGCTGCGCACGGGGGAAGCTGCCGGCGGCGGAAACCAGGCGCGCGGTTCTCCGCAGCTATCGTTGGGCTTAGACATTCGGACACCGTCACAATCACCGTAAGGGGAAGATACGCGCAGTGACTGCGCTCGCAATGACTACTTGGAAAATTTGATGGATCTTGAATCGCTCCCTTGTTAGTAGTATCTAGGTTGAGTGCATTCTGAGGGCGGCTTCTCCAAGAATCACCCCCAGTACTGAAAGCGGGCAGTAAGTTGCGATGAGATGTTAGAATCCCCATCATGCCGTCGTATCGCAGCGCTGCCGCTGACCACCGATTTGTCATCCCGATAATCCGACAAGCTGTGCAAGTTGAACTGCGAAGAAAGTCGACGCTGGACTCAAACAACTTGCTGCAGATAAACGACAGAACGATCTCGAAGCACGTGACGAGACGAGACGACTGAGCAAACGGGTCCGTACAGTGCTTACTAGTAGCACTGTTGGGGCAAGAGGCTGAGGAGGCTACACATAAGGAAGAGAAGACGATGGCATATGGAAGAGGAAGCACGGGAGGAGATAGGACATGGCAGTGGGAAAGGGGAGTTTTGAGGGGAGTGGACCAAAGTGGAGGCAGCAACTCAGATCGCGTTATGCGGAGAGTAGACTAGACACCACTCCGCACAGGTAAAAATTTCGTTGTCAGGGAAACCGACAGATTCGAGTTCCCTGGTTGAGAATCCAGAGAACAATTGGAACCCTGGAATGTTGCCCCTTGGTGTCCACATTCCTTAAATACAGTCGAAATTTCACGCTTTGCAAACATTTTCTCTTTGTGGAGCAGTAACTTTGTAAAGTAGCAGCTGAGGGTGGCAGCCAATAACTGGGCGCCCATACGCCCAAGGTTTTCGGAATAAGTCAAGAACATTGTGATCTAGTCCCCTTGAAAAGGATTACCAGGGGTATGAACCCTTCAAACGAGAGGTGATGCATCCCGATGTCTCAAACTTTCAAATTTGTGCCCCAAGCATGCACGAAAACTTTGGCCTCAGGTGGTTACATACAGTACAGTAGGTTGCCGAACGGGACGGGCGATAATTCGTCAACAACTCTTGGGGCTTTCGTTTGTTTTCGTTTCATTTCGTCATCATCCTTCTTTGGCTCGCACTGTAGTGCTGAACTGTACTGTGCTGTATCGTACGGCACTGAACTGTACAAATGGTGTCCACCGTACGCTTTGCCCGTAGCCAATTCTATCCTGCCCATTTTCCCTGTTTTACGAGCACTAGTCGTTTGGTTAAGATCCAATAGTCGCCATCGTGGAGCCATTTTATTGAGTTTGAAACTGCTGGACAAACAGATGCATGTGATTGTTGAACATAATTCGGACTCCTGAAATATCTTGTTACAAAATGCCTATTTGTGACCCGTTCACCCGTGGCGATGAAGGGGAAGTGACGAAATCGACATTGGCTCCCGCGACTCGGCAAAGTAATGGGCGTACGGTGGACATCATTTGTATTGGTCCGTATGCCGCACAAATAGGTCAACCCTAGAAGGTGTCATCACTGGATTGGCTTCTTCCGCCCTTCCCCTCCTGTACACAACCTGCGACATCTTCACTACTAACAACTTCACATATTTGACTATGTTCCCTCTGATATAGGGCGACCCGTGGCTGCATCATGAAAATGATAGAATAATGTGAGCACTTGCTTGAACATCACAGGCCTCTGCGAGCTCCCACGGGGTCCGACGACAATCACAGCAGAACTGTTCTAGTGTAAAGGGCGTGCTCTTCGAATCCAATCCACTCTGCCTATGGAACTAGACTCAATCGTCTAGGGTTCTCATCACCCAAGGACTAAAGTCGTGCCGGGTGTGTTTGGCTCAAGAATCTCCAGGGTGTGAAATTACCGCGATCTAGGCTGTGCTGTACAGTTCAGTTTGGTGCCCCTTCCTTGTTCGTCTTTCCTGCCAGAAAAGGTCAACGCAGACTTTCACGAAGTCCAGCCAGGAGCAATTGACCTGCAAGGGTGACCTCACTACTGGAACCCTCGATTCTCTTCATGCTCGAAAATGTAGAAACATTAGTCCACTAGGCAATGCACAACACCAATAACGAAGCATATATGATGGGGCCACCTCGTCAAGTCGTGACTTTTCTTGGGTAGAATCAGGTGAGGGAAAGGGCACTACACCGAGAGACTACTCCATTTGACCAGCCTAAATGGTATTGTTCTGCATAGCACAGCACAGCACAGCTTGTACCAGCACAACACTACCACATCGAACCATAGCAGATCAACCTTGCGTGGAACATCAAAGCACCATAGCATGCCAAACATGCAAGGCACATCATAGCAATACAGCATGCTGCACCTTCAAGGCACTGCCTAGCACCACGGCATGCCATGATTGTTAGGCACAGCAAAGCGCCGACAACATGCCATATATGCAAGGACCGGCATAACGCCACCACCATGCCATACTTGCAAGGAGCAGCAAAGCACCACATTATGCCATACCTGCAAGGTGCAGCAGAGCACCACGGCATGCCTTACCTGCAAGGTGCAGCAAATCACCATCGCATGCCGTACCTGCAAGATGCAGCAAAGCACCATGGCATTCTTAGAGTCGCAACAGCAACTAGAACAAGATACAGCGGACATCTAGGGTTAATGTTGTACCTGTGAAGATAGGGCTTGGGTAGAGAGAAGGTTAGCAAGAAGAACGGGGGTTGACTAAGAAGAGAGAGGGGTACAAGAGAAGAGTTGTCCCCTTTACAGTAAGAACCAGTACGTATACTACACCTACCTAGCCCACACACATATATATAAATCTAAAAATATATATATGTGATACACCCCCTAGGCCTCGTAGGAGCTACTCACAGAAGCAAGAGACCAGGGCAACACTACTAGTCTATCCACTGGTATGAGGAGTAAGAAAATGTTACAACACACCACACATCCAACACATCTTAACCCAGCACCCCCAAGCCCTAGCACCCCCATACCCAGCAGCAGCGGTGGCATTCTACATCCGGTTTGACCCCTCGGCGTGCGAGGCGCTGACGTCGGCGGTGGCGACAGCGGCAGCGGCGGCGAATCCAGCGGCACCAAGAAGTGTGGAACGGCTCTTCGACGACGGGGAAGACGGGACAGCCATCAGGTGCGGTGGGGAGAAGGAGGGGTGCGGGAAGCGGGAGGGCAGTTAGAGGGCGAGAGGGCAGCTAGAGCGCGCTGGCTGAGGCGGCACGGCGAGACGGGGCCGAAGCGGCGAGCTGGGGCCGTTGCGGCGAGCTGGGTCCGAAGCGGCGAGCTAAGGCTGCTGTGGCAAGCTGGAGCGGCGCAGCGAGCTGGCCCGTCACGACGAACTGGGTCAGCGCGGCGAGCTGTGGCCGACGCGGCGAGCTGGGTTCCAGCGCAGCACGGTGCGCCATGCGGGCACGACGGTGGGATAAGAGGGGAGAGTGAGATGCAGAAGCGTAGGGAGCAGGCCCGGTAGGATGGACCTGTTCTGAAACCATGTCGAGATAGGGCCTAAGTAGAGAGAAGGTTAGCAAGAAGAAGGGGGGTTGACTACGAGGAGAGAGAGGTACAAGAGAAAAGCTGTTCCCTCTACAGTAGGAACCAGTACGTTTGTACACCTACCTAGCCTCCACACAGATATATATACATATAAATATATTTATATATATATTGATAGTACCCTTTAAGAACACAAACATATCTAGCCTATTACTTATACATACAAGTCATATGTATAAGTTGACACACCCCCTAGGCTAGATAAGGGGCAGTGCCTAACAAGAAAGATGCACCTCAGGGCGGCACTACTAGTCCAACCTCTAAGGCAGGGGTCCGAAGTCCAGTCAACAAGTGTACAAACTAAACACGAGTAACTCAATGCAGCACTACTAGTCCTGCCATTGAGACAAGAGCCACAAGACCGGCCAAGAGAATATAAGGAGTAATACACAAGTCGGGGTCGTAGCAAGTGAGGAGCTACTGGAACTAGACCAAGCTGTAAGCAGTGCCGCTTATGATCTTTAGGCGCGAGCGCCTTGGTAAAGATATCAGCTGTGTTGGCATGATGCCAAGTGTACTACGCGTGCCTCGCCGCGCTGCTGTAGCTCGCGCAGGAGGAAGTACCGCAGCTAGGTGTGCTTCACTCGGCCCCCTAGTCGAGGCTCCCGAAAAAGGATGATAATGGCCCAGTTGTCAGCGTATAGGACCAGAGCAGAGCTAGGCTGCTCTCCTAAGTTAGTGAGCAGGAACGTCAGCCATCAGAGCTCTTGTACCGCCATGGCACCAGCGCAGATCTCAGCCTCACAAATGGACTGTGCAACAGACAACGAGCGAGTGGACCTCCACAAGATGGTGCCTGCACCAAGGCTAACACAGTAGCCCTGGGAGGACCTGAGCATCTCAGCGTCCTCCGCCCACGAAGCGTCTATGTGCCATGTGAGAACCATCGGTGTGCGTCTTCCCATCAATAGCCCCATTCCTAATGTACTTGCCACATAACATAAACACCCTCTTAGCGGTCGACCACTGCTGGGGTCGCTGTCTGTCCGTCGCAACAAAGCGTACGATGATACTAATAGGGTATGCGAGATCTAGACGAGTGCAAGTCATCAGGTACATGAGGCAGCCCACAAGCTCTGCGTACTGACCACTAGGCTCAACGGGCTCATTAGGGAGAGGAGCTGAGAGCCTGTAGTCGATTGACAGTGGTGTGGGCTCTTTAGAGAAGAACTGAAGGCCGAACTTTTGAGCGGCGCACCAAGTGTGACTGTGTGAGAGTGATGGTGCGCCCTACTTTGTCCCTGGAGATCTGCAACCCAAGGTTGCGCGCAGCTCTCCTAGGTCAGTGCAGGTGTGTCTCCTCAATAGCTCGATCTTCACTGAGGCTAGCGGATCTCTGTCTGTAGTAGCGAAGACCAGGTCGTTACGTAGACTATGATGTAGAACGGATTTTGGCTTGAGCGAACGAAGAGCGACGGGTCAGCAGAGGACGCAAAAGAATAGAAAGTCTGCTAGTGTAGCACGCAACGTGTCGTGTCACTCTCGGTGTGCGTATCGCAGACCATAAACCGGGTGCTGGAGGAACCACTGGTTTCCTGAGGGAAAGAGCCAGAGAATCCTGACAGACGACACATGTAGATCTGCTTGTGCAGACTGCCCTGGAGGTACACAGTGGAGAAGTCCAGCGAGTGAAGCTCGTAGTCAGCTGTGCTGCTACATGGAGCAACGCTCGAAGAATGGTCATCTTCGATATCAAGGCGAAGGTCTGAAAGAACTCAACGCCTTCGCGCTGACTAAAGCCTCTAGCAACGTACCGCGCCTAGAACACCGACGGCTCTCTAGGAGGGCGCTTCACATTGAAGAGCCATCGGCCATCGACTATGTTTGTTCCAGGTGTGGGAAATGTGTCAACGTAGGTGCCGGTTGATCTCCAAGATGCCATCTCCGCATCCACGGCAGCTATCCACTGAGAGGCCCAAGGTTCCGAAGTCACCTT